CTTATTTCCCACAGTGGTCCTCTCAGGATTGGGGTCTTCAGGTCTCTGGGGTGCATCCTGGAAGAGAACTGTGGGACCTGGTCCCCTCATCCCTTTGCATCATCCTGGCCGTCATGTGAATAGGTTTGCTGTGCTATGCACTCCTCCTTCACTGAGCTGTTTTGCACAGGCCCAAAAGCAAAGGAGCTCATCAGTCATAAACTGAAACCATTAAAACTGAACCAAAATAAAACTTTTCTAAGTTGACTCATCTCAAGTATTCTGTTACAGTGAAAGGGAGCTAATACAGAAGCCATTTTTAAAGTTAGCTAAAAATTTGTTATCTTTATTACGCAGCATTATTTACTAACAGTGATATATACTAAAAAATATTTCAGTCTCTCATTCACCCAGATAGGTAGACAAGCTGGTCACTTTTATCATCTGGACTGTCTACTAGGGGAATTCATCATATTTTTTCTACTTCCATTGTTTTTTTAAATATAGCTTTATTGAAACAAGTGACAGAAAAGCATATTTAATGTATATTCTTTGATAACTTTCGGCTTTTGTACATGTGAAACTACTGCGATACCAAGTTAATAATTAAATCCAACAGCCCCACATACTTGCCACCAGACAACATTCATGCAATTTCTATTATTATAGGATAGTTTGCATTTTCTAAAATTTTATATAAATGGGATACAGAATATACACTTTATTTTGCCCATATTTCAGTTGGCCCAATCATTTTGAAATTCATGTAATTTTTGCTGGTATTAGTATTTTATTTTTTATTTCTGAATGGTGTCCCATTTTGTTATAGTGGTTTTCCATATACTTATTTATGGGTTGATTCTAGTATGTGGCAATTACAACTCAAGGTATTAAGAATATTCTTCTTCAAGTTTCAATGGACAAACCATTTATCTCAGTTAAATGGCCAGGGGAGGAATAGCTGGATAAATAGTAAATGTATATTTAACTCTAAAAGAAATGACTCAACTTTCAACATATAGTTATATAGTTATATTCAATATATAGTTATATAGTTTCTACATTCCCATCTGAGTATGTAAAGTTGCACTTCTTTCAAATCCTCATCAACTCTTGGGAGAGTTAGTCTTTTTAATTCTACTAATTAGACTAGGTATGTAGTGGTATATGTGGTCTTAATTTTTATTTAATGACTAATGCTGTTTATTTTCTGTTTATGTATTTATTTACCATCTGATTATCTTCTTTGGAAAGAAGATATTAAAGTTTGTTCAAATCCTTTGCCCACTTAAAAAGTTGGATTGCTTCACATTTCTAAAAATGGTTTTCTTATTGTGGAATTCTGATTTTCTCTATATTCTAGATTCAAGTCCTTTTTCACATGTATAACATGTAAATATTCTATGATATTTCTTTTGTTTTCACTTAACAATACCTACTAAAAATAATGTTTTATCAGTATGTAGCAAATCTATAGAGTAACTGAAAAAAACTGACATGAGATCAATATTGAGTTTCTCCACCAATAAATACAGTATACCTCTTCACTTTGGCATGGCCCCACAAGAAATATTTCATATTTTTTATGGTATTGTAAATGGTGATGTTAATTTCAATTTGTGCTAGTATGTATACACACCTCAATTGATCCCTGCATACTGATCTTTTAGCAATCTTTCTAAATTTTCCTATTACTTCTATAGCTTCTTCGTAGAGTGCAAGGAATAATTAATAGGTAATCAATGTCAGTGGTGAGGTTTTTACCTCTTCCTTTTAAATCTGAATTCCTTTTATTTCTTTTTGTTTAATTACATTTTTTAGATATTCTAGTAAATGCTGAACAGAAGTGAAAGGCAACTTATCTTGTTCTAATTATAGTTCTTATGGAAAACAGCATTTTTCTTTGATAGAATGATAGCAGCTGTAGGTTTTTCAGATCCCCTTTACCAGGATGTCTTAGAGTTTTCGTTAAGAAATAATGTTAAATCTTGTCAGATTACTGTCAATTTTTTTTCTGTGCCTATTGAGATGATCACATGACCTTTTCTTTTTGTGCCCTAACACAGTGAAGACACTGTTTTTTGAACATTAACCCAACCTTTCACTCCTGGAATAAACCAGGGTGTTTATCATAATGTATTATTCTTTTTAAAAATAATGACTTCAACTTGTTAAAATTCTTTTAGAACATCTGCACCTACATTTACGAGAGATACTGGTCTGTAGTTTTTCTCAGGCTGGCTTTACATGGTTTTAAGACCACACTAATAGCTTCACAGAAGGACTTGAGAAGTATTCCACCTATTTCAGTTTTATGGAAGAGTATATGAGTAGCACTATTTCCTCCTTAATTAGTTGGTAGTTTTTAACAGTAAAGCCCATTGTTCCTGGAATATTCTTTGTGGGAACATTCTTAACTGCAATTTCAAAATTCTTTAATAGATTCAGGCCTATTCAAGTATATATTTTTCCAAATGTAAGAACAGTACCTTGAGTGGCAGCAGGGGTGTCTTTCAAGGAAGTTTCCCCTCATATTTAGGTTGTGGAATTTCCAGTTGTAAAGTTATTTACAATATTATCTTTTTAATACTGGTAAAATCTGTAATGATATTAATTCCTTTGGCTTATTTCCCAGTAATCTGGTTTGAGGTTTTCAATACTACGAAAGTTATCCATGAACTAGCTTTTCTTTTTATTGATTTTCCTCGTTTTTCTGAACATTTTTTACTTCCCCTGATTTCTGCTGTGAGCTTTATTATTTTCTCTTATTTTACCTTTAAGATGCCCCACCCTTGTGCAAAAGTTGATATCAATGTTTTCTTATTTTCTAGTAGTGGTGTTTAGTGTTGCAAATTGTCCCCTTAGTATTACTTTAATGACTTCAGTGGCATCCTACATGTACCGACTTATGTTTTTATCTTGATTTCTGTTCAGATCTAAATGTCCTTTCAACAACATGTTGAAATTTTTACTGCAACAATATTAAGAATTGGGATGTTTAAGCAGTAATGAAGGCTATCACTGTGGAAGAGGGTGAGTTACTGAGGGAGCAGGCTCCTAGAAGAAGGGTATGTTTGGGCCCTACCTTTCCGTCTCGCACATGCTTTACTGTCCTACCACTGTGTTAGGGTGGCAGCATGAAGGACCTCAGCAGATGTAGCTCTTTGATTTTGGACTTCTCAGATTTTAGAGTGAACCAAGTAGACCTTTATTGTTTAAAATTTACCCACTCAGTGGTGTCGTTATAGTAGCAATAAAGAGGTTAAGAATATTTAAAATAGGATTCTCCATTTCCATTGTGAGTTTTATTTGACTGATGTTCTGGACCCTCTTATAATTATGGAATGACTACCTTTCTCCTGAGCTCTGAAATCTACTTTCATTTTAATATAGCTATACTAGATTAAAAGTAAGATGGAGAGAAGAAAGCTATTTGTATATTTGTGTATCAGGGTGAAGGGCTCTTTTTTCCCTCAATCTCTGCCTTTTAACTGGGGCATCTGTGAGTACTAATATGCTCAGGTATAATCTATAATCTGTTTTATCTGTTCATTGTTCAGTCTACTCTTTCTTCCATTCCTTTTCATTAATTGAATTGTTCATTTTAATCTCTTTTGTTGGCTATCAATGATTACTTTAGTGTTTGCTTCGGAATTTATATCTTTGACTTTCCACAGTCTACCTTCATACTGTATTATAATGTTCACATATAGAATAAGAACTCTAAAACAGTGCATTCCACTGTTTGTAGTGACATACAGTTTAGCTTTACCTATATTATAAAATGTTCTCTATACTATCATTGTTTAAATGGTTGTATTAGTTTTGATAGGGCTACTGTAGCAAGAGTACAGTGAGCTGGGTGGCTTAAACAATAAAAATGTACTGTCTCTCAGTTCTCCCTGGAAGTTCAAGATTAAGATCTAGAGAATTGCTTCCTTTTGATGGCTGTGAAGAATATGTTCTATGCCTTCTGCCTGACTTCCATTAATTTACTGACCATCTTTGTTGCTCCTTAGCTTGTAAATGTATTTTTCTATAATCTTACTCAGTTTTTGTATAGCTGTCTGCTAATCAGTATTCAACTGAGTATACAAGGGGGATTGTTTTGGAGTTTTTCCTTGGTGCAGCTTTTTCATTTCTGGTATTCGGTCTTTTAAACTGGAGCTGTCTTAATCTCTTAGGACTCTAGGAGCTCCACTCCATCTGTACAATTCAGGGAGTCAGCTCGGCTCTGCTTGGGTTCCTCCTTCTGCGCCACACTTGGAAACTTTCAAAAGGCAATACACCGTGCAACTGCAGGACTCATATTATTTATTTTCCACTGCTAAAGATCACTGTCCTTTATTACCTGATGTATAATGTGATGTAAATTGTTTTATATATTTTGTGTACTTTTGGTTGCTTTAAGGGTAAAGTGAGGTAAAGTGGAAAAAATGTGGCCTCTATTATTTCATACTGGCTAGAATAGTAAGTGTTCTCATTTTGTTTTCAAATTACTCACAGGGTTCTACAACTATTAAAAATCTGATTTTAATACTGAATTTACATATAACAGCTCTTTTGACTTCCCTAATGACTATACAGTTCAAAGTTTATAGCTTTATCTATAAAAAATCTAGTAGTTTAAAAATAGTATCTAAGACTGAACTTCAGATCAAATGGTCATCATGTCTCTTCAGTTACTAAAGAGTATCTCTAATGTATGTCTTAAAAGGATGGGGAGAGAGAATCCATGCACAAAGCCCCTTGTACTTTACAACTACAGCTCCTGATAGCCTAGGAATTCTCTGCAGCAATAAACTAATAACAAAATAAAGACAAATATAGTACTGGTCACACAAATATTTGTTAATTAAATGCTCAAATACTTCACAGAATATATATTTAGTATTGAACAGAAATAATCTCTCATCATCTGATATACAGGAGAAACATACTATTTTGGGAATGTGGACAGTGCTTTTCCTTTGTAAATGTATGTATGAAATACTCATGTCTGAAAACAAAATTATACATACCTCTACAGCAGGTACAATGTCTATTCCAACAGTCAGAAATTCCTCAAACTTCAAAAATGGGTTAAAGCAGCTGCCAACATCAAGTAATCTGATCTTTCCTGAGGCTTGTAGCAACCTAAAAACAGGTATTTCACATTAAAAGGGGTAAACTTAAAGCATAAAAAAAATCAAATATCTGAGAATAAAAAAGATCATAAGGATTATTGATTCATTACCATATTGGTTTCCAGATGAGGGCTTCAAAGATTTTTTTCCACTTATAGGAATTATATCTATTAATTACCATATCGGAAGTAAAAACATTTATAAAATAATTGATTTTATGTTACTATAATTATGTTTTTAAATGAAAAATACGGATGTTTTTGAAGGGTTATAAAAAGTAAGTCCTCATTTTATATTTTTGACGTCTCTCTCCTGGCCGGCCTAGTATGTGTGAGGCCCTGAGTTTGATCCCCAGCACTGCACAAAAAACAAAAAACATTGGATTCTAATGTCTCATTTGCATTTAAGCTGTTGCAACATCACATGCCATGCAATCTCTGGAAAACACTACTATACACCCATGAAAGAATGAGAGTAAAAGGACAAATGTGATCTCATTGTTCTGAAAATAATTCCCCCCCGCCAGCAGAGACTCTGAGAGGGTCTCATATTCACATCATCAGTTTGACAGTCATCTTTATAGAGGAAAAAGTTTATTCACAAATCAGTTTTCAGTGGTCAGTATAACAATGTTTTCGGAGTTCACCTTGTCTCAGTTATTTAAAATGACCAAAGCAAACAGCATACATAGAACAGTAGTTTTTGAGAATGGCACCTCACTCTTTGCCTGGGCTGGGCCTGAACTCACAATCCTCCAGCCCCAGCCTCTCAAGTAGCTGTCTTGCCAGTCTGTCAGGCAAGAATAGTATTTTTTCAGGTTAGGAAACTTCTTATTGTATGCCAAGTTTTGCTCATTTTCAAAGCTTTAGAAAAAAGAGGAAGTGATTATCAAAATGAAACTACATGTGGACCTATGATAAGAATGAAGGATTTTGTTGGCCACAAACCTATAATCCCAATGCTCAGACAGTAAAGAAATAATAAAAATATTGTATCAACTTCAGACATGTAACACTTTAATTGATGTTGAAATAATTTGTAAAATTTTATGAACACACATTGAAAAAAATAAAAAGAATGTAAATAATTGGGTAAAAAGAGCACTGTGCTTCTCTGAAGACAACTGAGCAAAGAGAACCTGCTCCGTTTCTCTCTTTGTATTCAGCAAGTATATCAATTTAGAGAGGTGTTAAATTACAGGCAGTACAGTCGCTTCCTGGAAAGACAATATGATCTAAAGATTTTTTTTCCCAGAAAACAAATGTAATAAATAAGAGTTACATTTTTTAAACCAAGAGCTGATGATTCCTAACATTTTATAGAAATGACCATAGTGACAATTTCATTTTGACCAACTACAAAGGAACTCCCTCACATAGTATAAATACTGAATAGAATCACAAAAATAATATGAACCAATTAAGAAACAGCTTTGCCAGTGAAATGTAATTTTATTTAAGAACTTTTCTGAAGAAAGGTAATGAGGGCAAAATAGTGTTTCTTCAAAACTGTTATTTCATTAAAGTGGCCTTGATGTTTTATGTAAAATATTTCTGACTCAGATATCCAAGGAATGTGAGAGTTTTTTGGAAATGCCTAGAAATGCTCCCAATGAGAAGAATTGCTCTTGGGACTCAAGAGGTACTTTCTATACTGCAGCCAGTCTGAAGGGAGATTATTATTGTAAACTTGAATTAAACTGGGTGGTTCTTAGAATATCGTAATATACTCATTGCATAGAAGAAAGAGGCCAGTGAACTATTGGCATAGGTTACAAGTTGATAACCAGAGCAAAAGATGAAGTAGACAGGGGCCAGAGAAATGGTCATCATATAGCTGGCACTGCTGCTTAATTTATGCAATACAGGAACATGGATCATCCCCATGGAGAACAAATGAGAATATGTAATGTATGTACTACCATATATACTACTATATCATCATTCTAAGCCTTATGTACGGTTCTGGAATCAGAGAAACTGATATCACACCTGATTCTGTTCCTTACCATGTAATACAGAATAATGATGGTACCCACATAGTTTTTTCCAGGATTAAAAGAGATAATAAATTTAATGCTTGATCCAATGTCTGTTACATGTAAGTGTTCACAGCCATTATCGTCATGTGATGGATAAAATCTTTTGTGGTTCACCCACTAATGATCTTCCTGATCATAGTAAAAGCAGACTTTGGCTCACAATAAGTTCAATAATAAATCTTAGTAAACTGAGTAGAAACAAATATCTGATAGTATTTTTTAAAGACTTTGAAATTTTATATTGAATGTATTCAAAATTATACAAGTTAATTCAACATTAGAGTACCAACACTAATAACTTAACAATATCACAAGTTTACTTAGTAATCTATCAGTTCTTATTCACTTCTTTGGTCCATTTCAAGCTTTGGTTCAACTTCACTTATTTGCACAGAACACAAATACACAGTTAAAAAAAGCCACACAGCAAACATTCATGTAGTTACCACCCAGGTCAAGAAATAAAATACTGCCTGTATCCTAGACTCTCCCTGATGACACTCCCTAACCTTTTCATAATGGTAGCCATTAACCTGATTGTAGGGATAACCTTTCCTTTACACACTTTCATGGTCTGAACTACCCAGGACAGGATATTATCAATTATATAGTTTGATTTGACAGTACACATTGGCTTTTGTGACTTACTTCTTTAATTTACTATTATGTTCCTGAGATCTGTCTGTGTTTCTGCAATGAACTGATGTTGCTGTATAGTGGTATCCTTCTTTACAGCCACTGTGACTTTGACTAGTGCATTACTAAGCCTAAAAATGATTTGGGGAGAATTTTTATCTTTACAATATTGTCTTTAATTCCATGGACACAGGATAGTTCTCCACTTACTTACTCTTAAACTGTCAGCAATTTTATTATTGTTTTGAAAAGGTCTCATATTTATTGTTATATACATATTCCTTGGTATTTCATAATTTTCATACTATTGTTATCTTTTCAATTTCAGTTTTTATTGCTGGTCATAGAAATGCAATTGATTACTATGTTTTGATTTTTATATCCAGTAACAGTACTAAGTTCTGCTTCCATGTTTGGTACTCTAAAAGGAGACTTTCAGGTGTATGATGTATGAAAACTGACCTACATTTTTCCTTTCCTTTCTATCCACTCATAAATATATATATATACATTTTTTTTGGCTTCACTTTCTACCCAGGGCTTTTCACACAACACAAAACAGAAGTGTACAAGTGGGTACTGCTATATTAATTTCAGGGGGCATGTTTAAACATTAAATGTAATATAGGTTTTGTATACAACACCACATCATAAAGATGAAGTATTTTCCTTTATATTTTACTAGGGCTTTTTGTTTGTTTATTTAACATACATCACTGTTGAATTTTATAAAATCCATTCTATGCTTCTATTGAGATAGGAATTTAATCTGTTTATATTAAGAGTATGTTCATAAGTTTTATAGCATTAAATCAAACACATTCTTCAGGAGCTTAGTTTGACAGATTATCTTTTTCATAATTTGAAGGATTTGTTATACAAACACACACACACACACACACACACACACACACACACACAAATACAGTTTAAAAAACAGTCACATAGCAAACATCCATGAAATTACACCCAGGTCAAAAAATAAAATATTGCCTGCATCCTAGACTCTCGCTGGTGACACACTTCCTACTTTTTCTTAATGGGATACACGCACACACACACACACACACACACACACAGTCAATTCTTGCTATTTGTGGTAGTTTTGTGCTATACAGTTACTTTAAACACTGAATTGTAAGCATCAAATCATGGGTCCTAAAGCAAGTACATGGCTAGACCTCTGGACACATTTTCATCAACAGATCAACACATACTGTGGATTTATGTGTATTTTTCTGTTTAATGACATATTTAATACATACTGTTGATGCATGAACACTGAACTCACAGTGAGTAGTACTGTATCTTATGGCTGGGGGAAGCCTATCTAAAACATGTATTTTCTCTGCAAGACACAAAACAGCCTTCTTGTGCTTTGAGACACAATATCATACTGGGAATCATTTTAAAAAACAAAATAGCCAGTAAACAGAGCAAAAAGGAAAAAAAAAATCGACAGCAAATGCAAACTGATACACTGTTAGATTGGTTTCTGTTTTTAGCATATGTGCTCTGCCTTTCTTCATTTACATACTGAACATATTAAAACACAGGCAATAAAGCCTGGCTAAAAAGTGTCTTTGGTTACACTGCCTCTACATTTTAATACTTCTTTGACATGTTTATTACACTCTAGTAAATTTTCACTTTTAGCTCTTTAGATAAATTTATGCAGAGAATCTTTCAACTGCATTATTTAGGGCTGGGGTTACAGCGCAATAGTAGAGTGCTCGTCTAGCATGGGCAAGACCCAGGTTTTATCCTTAACACAGCAAAAGCCAAAACAAACCAAATGAATTATTTAAAATATTTTTATGACACTTAAACCTTCAGAATTCACAATCTCTGTAACTTCAATTGACATTTTTTACTTTACACTATGGAAAAATCTTAAGTGGAAAACATTGGTATTAGCCAGGCGTGGTGGCACATGCCTGTAAAACCAACAATCAGGAGGCTGAAGCAGGAGGATCGCTGTGAGTTCAAGACCAGCCTGGGCTACTTAGTGAGTCCCAGATCAGTCTTGACTACATAGTGAGACCCTGTCTCAAAAACAAAACAATAACAACAAAAAACCCACCGCCAACAACAACAAAAAACATTGGGACATGTAAAGATGTACATAAGCTTTCCAAATTATAACTTTTCACTTAACATTTCTACTTTGTTTTAAATTTAATACTGTCTTTTGTTCTCATATCCAAAAATAGTTATAGTACCAGATCATATTTCTTTTATTTTCTCTGCCTTAATTCCCAGCCTGTTTAAACAATTTAATAAGGAAATGCGGGATTTTATTTCCTAAACAATTTTTGGTCTGGCATGCTGCC